TTACTGATGGCCTGTGCCCCATCAGGCACGTAAATGGCGCGATGCAAACGTATGCAGTGGCGGTGGGTGACAGTCTCGTCGAAATTGGGCCAATTTAACTGTTTCCAGGATTCCGTGATGTGATCTTATCTGCATTTGCCGGCAACAATTCTGACCGTATAGTTAATTGCCTTATCCAGGTGCTGGCGCTGAACGGCTGTTGTCGGCCCCATGCAAGTAAACAATATCTGATGTGAGGGAAGACCAGTGACTCGATCGGGGACTTTATTGTGGAGCTGGAAAGCACATGCCTAAGCTTGTCAATAGCTATGAGGGAGCCAAAAGCACATGCCTAAGCTTGTTACTAGCTATGAGGGAGCCAAAACAGTGCTGAGTAGATCTGGCTGTTTGATGCTCCAGTTGAGATTTTCATCGATGAGCACCCCCAGTATTTTGAGGTACTCTGAAGAAGACAGCTGGGAGTTAGCAAAATTCACGCTCAGCCCGGCGGCTTTGCGGGTGTTGGTGGGTGTGCCAGCAACAATGAATTCAGCTTTTGGTGGGTTGATCTTCATGTCATTGCGACGAAACCATACTGAGAATGCGGTCAGATTGGACTCAACGCACGAACGCAGTTGTGCGGGACCACGGGCAGATGGTGGTGATTCATGCATTGGCTGCATGTCGTCTACATATGACACCAGTTTACACGTAGCTGACACATAACACTGGATGTCGTTGGTAAAGAGGAGGAGCATCAGCGGTTCTGCTATGCTGTCCTGAACCACGCCATACGCAACCTCAAGACTCGGCCCGTTTCCACCCTTCACAGTTTGTCGGCGGTCGGTGAAACAATCCGAAAACCAGTGTGGTGAAGTGCCATAACATTCCAGCTTTGTTAAAAGAGCAGAGTGGTCTACACAATCGAAGGCTTTTGGCAAGTCAGCTGAGCTGATGGTGGTGACCATACTGGCGTCCATGTTGTTGTTTATGCGGCTAACTATATCATTGACTGCATGCTCGGTGGAGCGGTGAGGACGGTTCACGTATTGTGAGTCGACAAGAATGTGGTGACTAGCCACTGTAGTACAGGAGCTATGGACCGAAAAAGATGCATTTGGCATCCATATTAAACTAGCACTCAAAACATGACTTAATGACGCGCGCGCTCTGGCGACGCTTGCTCAGAACATTGCTAACGGTAAAACAGCAAGAAGCACACTATTGCCACCGCATTATTTCGAATACACCATTCTGAGATACACTGAACATGAAATCCCAGTTAGTCCAGTGGTATGACACGGTATCCCGACTGTATTATTTTTAACTAATTCGAGGCATCGTTATCAGGTAGGGTTGTTTGGATCGCTAAAGGAATACTTGCTCGGACCATTTTTCTCGTCTGGTGGGTTGGCTTATATCCTGTTTGGTTTGTTTGTTATAGGTTGCTTAATCGTTGAAATTGTACAGGCAGGCTGAACACGTGCACCGCCATGGTTGACCTGGATGGCGTCCGCCGCCCCCTCGCGCCAATGCTCGAAGCTGGTCCTATTATATTCATAGCCTATGATCGAGCTCTTGACTGAAAGCATGGACAGTCGGCACTAAGTGGGCTAGATACGTTAAACCCCGAAGGGAGACCTCTCCCGACACTGATTGAATGGCAATCAACAGGTCTACGCTGCATCGCACCAGCGTGCCGCGAAACTATGGTGCTGCCACCTCGGGTCGCTTCAGTGAAGTCAACATTCGCCGTGGCGGCGCTACGTGTGCGGCGGTGCTGGACAAGACGTCGACGAACGGCTGCGCGCGAGTGTGAGGGTCTGCGCATTCGGTGCACCGGCGTCGCTGATGAGGAGGAACTACCAATGGCAGACCCGACAATGCCTGTAATGCATTGTTCGTGTCATCGGAGGAATTATCTGAAACCACATTCGTGCAATGAACTATTCGAAATACGTCATTCGCGCTGCTTCGTGTGACCGTGTGCCATGTGTTGCTGCCATACACGATAGAATAGCCCGAGGTGCCGCACATTTATTACACACAGTCAGAGAGATTGTTGAAAAATCAGTAACAGTTAAATGGCATGTCGAGTCAAGGCAGAGGAGCATCACGACTGACGAGAAGTCAGGTAACATTTTCGTCGCTGAAGTAGGAAGGGTTAAGAATCTGTTGTGCATCGGTGAGTACAATATGTAACGCTTGTCTTGTAACTTCGCCAATGCTGTTGCATGTAAATTGCGCTGACGTAGCTATAAGTGAATGGAAAATCCTGTTGACATTTAAACGCCATTGGTGTGATGCAGGTGATGCGCTGACAGGTGCCAACAGGTGCTGTTGATATTTAAATGCGAAATGGCGAAACCGGCGAAATGTGGGGATGAGCCATCGTTTTGATAGGACGGCAGCACGTGACTCCGTTGCTGTGGTGAGCGACAACCAGCTGCTCACGTGGACCTGCTGAATCCGGTGCCCCGTCTGTCAGGATCGGGACTAGCCCGTGACCTGCTTCATCTGTGGCACCCGTGTGGCCGTCTGAATCTGGTGCCCCGTCTGTCAGGAGCGGGACTAGCTCGTGACCTGCTTCATCTGTGGCAACTGTGTGTGTGTGTGTGTGTGCGTGCGTTCGTGCGTGTGTGTGTGTGTGTGTGGTGTGTGTGTGGGTGTGTGTGTGTGTGTGTGTGTGTGTGTGTGTGTGTGTGTGTGTGTGTGTGTGTGTGTGCGTGTGTGCGTGTGTGTGTGTGTGTGTGTGTGTGCGTGCGTGCGTGCGTGCGTGCGTGCGTGCGTGCGTGCGTGCGCGTGTGCGTGCGCGTGTGCGTGTGCGTGCGCGCGTGCGTGCGTGCGTGCGTGTTTGTTTGGCCTCAACTTCCGGCACAGGGGAGCGACTAGAACGTGCTGGAGCGAGAGGAAGCATCGTGCTTTCGACGCAGACTTATGGCATCGAAGTGGACTCAATCATTCAGTTTTCGAATGTTACGGGAGCACGCACGCTCCCTCTTCTACCTGCGCCCGCTAGCCTGGGACGCTCTCTGGTGGATCTCCCGCGGGGTTGAAACCGGCCGGCCGGGCGGCGGGGCGGCGTCCATCGACGCCATAGCGGGGCCTGTCCGTGAACACACCGCAGGCTATGAAAACAGTGTCCCGTCAGGAACCACCACGCGAGCGACATTCACATCAGCGATCACGGTCTTTCGACTTTTCGAATCTGGTGAACGTTGTCTGAGAGGGTTCAACATCTTGCTAAGATGGTTGTTCAGTCGTGTCAGAAGAGCTTCAGGCCGAGCTGTGCACGTGTAGGTGCGACAGAAGTGGGCCAGACATGTACGCTGAAGTCTCAAATGATGTTTGCCTCTGTGTTCATGACAGGGTTATCTCAGGTATGGGACGTGTTGGCGACTGTATGAGTCGCAGGCACCGATTTTGGTGGCAAGTGATGTGAACGATAATTTTCTTAGTAAACACACGCTCAGCTCAGCCAACACTGCTAAATGCCACTAAGGGTTGCGGTACTTTCTATGGCAGTTGGTCTCCGGCTCATCTCGTACCGTTATGAGGCTCGTAAGACTGCTGCCACGATCCAGGAGAGAACGGCATCAAATCACGCCACATCGGCTGTTACACCCCACCTATTATGGTCACGGCTCGCTAGGCAAAAGAACGAAGAAGCACTAACATTTTTAATAGTACGAAGACGATACAACTTGCGAGTGGATTTCAGTCCATCGGAATCTGATGTAGAGCCATGGAAGCGGTCGTCAGCCGTCGCAGACCGCCCCGCTCGCACGGCGCTGGCACGGCGGGAGCACGTGGGCACGAGTCCGCGCGCCACCTGCGTCGGGCTCGCGCCACCCTGCGGCAGACGCGCACACCGCACTCAACGCCAGCCACTGTCCGATCGCCGGCCGGTGGGCGGCGCTCCCCAGCACCTGTGCCGTGTCGCCACTGTGGTGCACTGGCCGTGCCCGCCTGCGTGCCCTCCGCGACAGCTGACGGGGCTCGATGTCAGTCAGCTGACGACGCAAGCTTGAAGCGACCGAGCTGCGCCGGCCGCAGCGCTCCCGGGAACTGAACTGTGTAGGTTACACGTATTTGCTTCCTGCACCTTGCGTGGCACTGCGGCACTGGCATCCCCCGTCGTTCTGATTGTTTGTGCGGGTGTGACTACGACGCGCCACGTATCCCGGTCGTATTTGATGTGCGTGTTCCCTCTGACGCTTGTCGTGTGCATAACATGTCGTGTGCAAGTGTCACTGTCATGTCGTTTGAAATGATCGTTCGGAGATAAATACATTCAGCGACTGATCAATTTACGATCGAGCCAACAGTCGTTCGTCCACGGCGCGGTACATCGTGCGGTGGCGTACGCGTTTGAAACGGACGGAACAGACAGGGTGAACGCGACAGAACGGACCCGTACGCTCCAGCTCGGGGATCTTCTACCGGGCGTCGGCCGGCGGGCAGGCGCGAGATGTCGCTGACAAAGTCAGCCGGTAGATATGTTCTGACACTAGCTGACCCGCCGGACGACCATCAGACGAACGGTAGGCGGCGGCGCGAGCCGTGTGACGCCTGCTGGGACATGACGGAGCGTGGGGTCAGACCCCTCCCCGGATCAGGCCGGGCCGAGGCAGGGGGCCGCCGGGGGCGTGCCGTGAGGTATGAGCGCCTTCGCGTCGACGCCAGCTAGACATTCGACCAGGACACAAACGGGTCCGTCCGTGCCGATGGCAGTGACCTTGACGGCGACCTTCCGAGGCTGCCTGGCTGGGCCGCGTGTTGGATGCCGGCTCCAGTACGCGGTGCCACCGCCGGACAATACCTGCGCCACATCATTCTAGCGTCGCGAACCTGGCGGACGCCAGCCGAAACAGGGCGGACCATGCGTCTTGTCACTTGTTACGCCCGCGCGCAGTGCTAAGTCGCGTGCTCGCCTCATTCGCCTGAATCACTAGCCGCCGCTGCCGGCACCGTGTTCGGCACGTTTCTGAGTATCACTTTTGCATGATCAACACGCAATAAGTAGCTGCACGTGTATTACAAAATCGTGCACCTTTACGGTGCTCGGATAATGGACCAAGGCACAGACATCTCGACCATTGCTAGGATCCCGGATAAAAATAGGCTCTTGATTAAATGCACGCAACCATACGCGAAGAAAATGCCAACAGCACGTCATATACCTCTGGAAATTGCATGATGTCTTCAGACAAGCCGAATGTGCTTCGTTTGTACAGTATTGCAGGGCTTACCGCGCACCATCATGCCTGATACCTGATAGCTGATACATACCTGATCATGGGAATAGCTCCTTCAAAACCCTTCCGCTGCACTGTGTTTAACATGCTTCACGAGCAAAACCGAGGTATATCCTGAACTCATGGAATGTGACAAAAACTAAACTAATACTACTTAACTTAATACTAAACTTACCTAAATATGAATATACTACTAAACTAAATACAAAACTAAACTAAATATTACTATACTACTAAACTGAATGCTAAACAAACTACGCCCCATTCGGTGTTGGCCACGGCAAAGAGTGCCATCTTCCCGCTCTGTGAGTATTGCCATTAACACGACAAAGACTTTGCGCGTACCAATAATGCTTACTATAGGTCCATTGCTACCAAAAAAAGCTACAAAAATGGCGGCCAGATATTGGGCGCGCGACCCGCGGCGATTTGTGTGTGGGAGGCGGGACTGGCCGCCTCCCTCCACCTCTGGACAGAAGGACTCGGCGCACCGGCGCCCACCGCCGCCGGCCTCCAACCGGGCCAGAGGCGGCGCCGCCGGCCCGAACCGCCCGCCGCCGCGCTCTAGTGGTCCGGCAGCATGGTGTTGTCGGCCACTGTGTCCTGGAGCGGAGGCGGAGCCCGGTCAGCGGTCCCGTCCCGCACACCGCTGGTGCGGCCGCGTCCCTGGCGCCGGCACCACGGCCGACCAAATGCCCCTCTAGAGCCGCAGAGCGGCACGTACCTGCCGTTGGCTCCCATGCGTGCGTTATGCGCAACGAATTCACGCAGCTGTTAAACGACCTCAGTTTCATGAGAATGTGAGGTGAATGCGGAGCGACAAAAATGATGGCGTTTACGGTTATTCAAGTAGGAAGCGATTATTGCGGTTTAAGCGCATGCAGTAAGGATAAATAACTGCATGCCAGCAATAAATACCGGTCAGCATACCGACGACCGCGGTTTATGGAGGGCCGCAAACTCCGTTCGCCTTTCATCACCAAACATAAATAGCCTCCCACCCACACCTCGTGATTGACGAAAATGCAGCAACCGGAGACGTCTCGTGCGCGTCATCTGTCGGAACACACAATGCCCGTAGGACGAACATCTGCGGGCTGCGACGTGGGGAAGCATCACCCACTCTACACGCCGCATGCCCGGTAGACTGCGCCTCAACCAGCCATCACTGTCAGCGACCCCCGTCCAACACAGCAGGACGCCTGCCCGCATCGCTCTGCTCCCCGTGCGTACCAGCGCGCCAGCTGAAAACCAATGGTGGCGGGCGCCGCTCGTCCTCCGACGTCCTCTACCCATCCCTCGTACCACACGGGACCCGCTCACACCACACGGGACCCGCTCGCACCACGGGACCCGTTCGCACCACGGGACCCATTTGTATCATGGGATCCACTTGCATCATGGGACCCGCCCGCACCACGGAACCCGCTCGCACCACGGGACCCGTTCGCACCACGGGACCCATTTGTATCATGGGATCCACTTGCATCATGGGACCCGCCCGCACCACGGAACCCGCTCGCACCACGGGACCCGCTCACACCACGGGACCCAGTCGTATCACAGAACCCACTGGTATCATGGGACCCGCTCGTATCATAAGACCCACTCGTATCATGGGACCCACTCGTATCACGGGACCTGCTCGAACCATGGGACCCGCTCGCACCACGGGAGCCACTCACGCCACGGAACCCATTCGTATCACGGGACCCACTCACACCACGGGACCCACTTGCACCACGGGACCCGTTCGCACTACGGAACCCATTCCTATCATGGAACCCGCTCGATCATGGAACCCACTCGTATCGCGGGACCCGTTTGTATGACGGGAGCCATCCGGACCACACGGGATCCGCTCGTCCCACAGGCACGGCGCCCATCGCCGGCCCGCCTGCGCCGCCGCCTGGGCGCCGGCGGGCGCGCGCTCACCCTGTTCTGGCGCAGCTGCTCGTCCCAGTCGGTGAGCGCCAGCCGGGGCACGAGCTCGCGCAGCAGCCGCACCACCGAGTCGACGTTGGCACGGAACACGGCCATCACGTCCGCCACGCCCACGCCCGCCTGGTCCGGGCGCCAGCAGTCGTAGTCGGTGGGCATGGCGATGGCCGCGTAGCACAGCCCCGCCTCCTTGGCCAGGGTCACCTGGCGGCGGCGCTGCGTCAGGGCGGCGGCCGGGAGACGTCGAGAATTACCGGCATACGCACGTGGGCCGGACGGTAGACGAGCCCGTGCGACGGTTGTGGTCGAGAGCAGAATCACGCGTGCAGACGGGCACCAAATGACAAGCGTCCAGTACGGGCACGGGAAGGTGTGGTAACAGGGAGCATCGCGCTCTGTGAGCTGGAAACACCAGCCGATGCGGGGTAGGGAGTCAAGACAGGGGGTCACGCCAGCTGGTGTAAATGCACAACACGACCGCAACTCTTTTTCCGCGGAAGTTCACGTTGGCCAACAGACATATTATTACGACTTGTCCGACATCGGCCGCTCCGGCAGAAAAGTTCGTTCGTTCCCCAGCCGGAGTCGAGCCGCCACTGACCTCGGGCACGGTGGTCATGTTGACAACGTCGCAGCCCCAGCTCCGGAACAGGTTACTCTCGGCCTTGGTCGAGAACCTCGGGCCCTCGATGCAAACCGTGGTGCCTGTGGTAGAGACCCGCGTGTAAGCGTGGCACCATCTGCTCTCTCCAAATTTGGAACAAGTCAAAATGGCCCAAGATGGGAACTGATCACGCGGTCTCTCGATCAAGGGCCAAAAGCCGTCAACTATTGGCCCGCTTCTGCGCTATGCAAAGCGCACCACACACACACACACACACACACACACCGCATCTGGAGGCGCCTCTGCGCCCGGCCGTCGGTGGAGAGCTATGCCGCTCCCTCTCCGGTCCGGCGGAGACCGAGTACAGACATCAGCGAGGCCCGCTCACCGCTGGGGTGGAGGGTGATGCCCAGCTCGTCAGCCGCCGCCTGCACCACGGCCCGGGTTCGGCCACAGAAGGGCTCGCCCATCGGCAGATGGCAGATGCCGGCGAAACTGGCGCACGTGCCGTCAAAGAACGTCAGCGGCCGCTTGGTGGTCCTGTGGCGAACGGTGGATGTCACGGGCAGCGTGAACGGACCGCAGGCGCCGCTGCCAGCCGATGGTGAGCCTTTGTTTGATTACATCGCCGAGGACTGTGCGTCACAGCCACAGCCCGTATCAGGGGATGACGAGCACTGCTGGCTATGGCCTCGCGACGAAGCTGGCCAGTCTCTCTGCAATGTCCGAGCAGCTCCATGCCCGATCAAGCGAAAGCAATGCCACATCCTCCGGCCTGAAGGTTGAAGGTCTTCTTTGACACCTGTGATGCCTTTGTGCACTACACCAAGCTCAGTAGCGGCCACACCCGGTCCGTAGCCGGGCGGCCGCTGATCGGGCGCCGCTCACCGGTCGATGAACTGGTCGAGCAGCAGGAGCTGGCCGGGCCGGATCTCCTCGCGCAACGAGCCACACGCGGTCGACACGACCAGGTGCGTGCAGCCCAGCTGGTGCAGTGCCCATATGTTAGCGCGGTAGTTGACATGGCTGGGCATTATGGTGTGCTGGCGGCCATGCCTGCCGGAAGAGGATGATGAACAGTGGCACAAGCCAGCACTGCATACAGTTGGGTGAAGCAATTAGGGGCTGGACACAGGGGAAGGCTAGGGAGGAGATGACCACAGGGTGGGTAAGGGGTCACTTTGGCAATTGCAGGTTCATAGGCTTGGAGGCTTTGTTAGCTTATTGGCTTTGTTAGCTTTGTTCACTTTGTTAACTTGATTCTAAAGTTTGATGCAATTTGCCTAAATTGATGTACAATGAGTAATCAAAATGTAGAAAAAAGTTTATAGCTAAAACACAAATGCCAAAAGGCAGCAATAGGAGCATGTCTCTAAGTTAATGCTAAGCACATCAGTTGAAATAGAGGCCTCACAGCCAGTGCAGTCATAGCCAAATGCAGGGGGATATCCAGAATCTAGAACATTAGCTGATTACTGAATTCATTTGTCATGTCCTAGTTATTCCATTATGCATCGCCAAAACAGATAAATCCAAACACTTCTCTCCCAACATTCTGTCATGCAAGACCCAAAAAACAATATCACAACCTGGCACTTTTACAAGGCTGTGACAATGTTTACGCAGGTAGCAGCTAGCTAATATACAGAGATGTCACAAAGAGACAAGTTGGTAAGACATCTTACCTGGCTAGCACAGCCACCCTCACACCTGACAAGGTTCCAGTGAGCAGAGGGCTGGAAGGTTTCCCAAAAGGTGTTTCAAGCTCAACATCCTTTGGATCCTGAACACCAAGCACTTCTGGATTTGTAAATCCAGTGCCACCAATGATTCCAACCTGTGGAAAACATCCAATAATTCAGACAATGCATTTAAATGACATCAACTGAACTTTAGACATTAAATCCAGCCAGGGTAATATGGACACCAGACTGCGAAAAAGCATGTGATATCCAACATGTCCAGCATGGTAGTAAAATCACCACAAAAAATTTCAGTGCATGTACACTGATAGTTCAAACACTCAGTCTGTTGCATGCTCGCCACCAATTTCAGCACACAGAGGGACAAGATTCAGGGATTTATGATGATGCTAGGGGAACATTAGGCAAAATTTCCCAAAAAATATTTTGACACAAAAATAACTACAAGCATAGATCCAACACACACCAAACATAGATACCCATCATTTACATGCATGCTTTCTTAGAAACCATTAGCTTGCAGGCCCAATAGTTTACGTTATTTGGGGCTGGGGGCAGAACGGCAACATGACCGATACCTCTCGTTGCCTTTCCACCGAACGTAACGAGTATCTCACCATAAGAGGCCTGTTCGCCATTACTTTTCTTGTAGCCGTATTCTACTGGAAATTTTAGATGTCACCTTCCGTGAGGCGCCACGCGGATCACAACCCCTGCCGCCCAGCCCGAAACGGATCTCCCCACTGGCCAACCCCTTCAAAAGAGCACCGGCCTTCCTCATTAACTTACGAAACGCCATTCCTGCGCGCTATATGTCTACATTGGGCTGGATCAGCTGATTGTTCTTGTGCCCATATTTGACATTGAAAGCGTTCTATATTGAAATTTAGGTACGACGTTATCTCAGTGGGCGGAGCTCGGGTCGTATGTCAATAAGGAATTGGGCGAGCAATCAAACTGAGTTCCACTGCATAACCACTGCAGCAAAACCTCCTATCGGCAGGAGCGTTATAACACTACGTTTTCCGTTAACACTTAAACAGTCATTACAACTACACGACGTTACTTCTGACGCAAAACTGAAGCAGGCATTAGTGCTACGCCACAAAACGTGTACTAAAAAAGTTTGTAAGCATCATTAGGCACCTATAATATAATAATGCAGCAAAATATTTTATTTCGCACTATCAGGCTGGTATTTATCTGGACACATACAGGCATAGCAACACAACACACAAGACAAAATATATAGCCATTACCTACACGACTTTACTTCTACTGCAAATACTTATGCGTGACATTAGTGCTGCACGACAAAACTTTGGATTCAAAAACTGATAACCGACATTGACTCTGCTACAAAATCTTGTTATCATCAGCGCTTCAATACACGGCATTACTTCTACTGCAAAAACCTATACACAATATTAGTGCGTCAGCAATGACCTGTGGCCCAGTCTGCTGTAGAGGCAATGACTGGTATGCGTTCTTGCAATTATGTTTTGATGTCCTAGTACTCTGTCGAGCATGAGTTTTGCAGCGCTAGAAATGTTGTATATAAGTGAGAGCTGCTAAATTAGTATTTGCGGTGGAATAATGACAAGCATATTTTTCAGGAGCTTCCCGTGTATTACACATGTGCATGAGTTTTTGCAACAGAAGTAATGTGGCGCATAAGGAAGACTTATATAAAGTTTTAGCTGCATAAGAAATGACAAGCATGCATTTTTGCAGCAGAGTTTTTGTCGTGTGTAGGTATTTACAGTAGAAATGATGTCGCGAAAAAGTGAAATCTCTTCAAGTTTTTGCAGTAGAAGTCATGTCTCATATAAATGATGTAGCACTCCTGCCGGTAGGAGATTTTGCCTTAGCACTAATGTCGTGACACCATCAAAATAGCCAAAACCCCGCGGAATGTGACCACTAAGTCGCCGTCAATGCTGCAGGTAAGGAGGCATCACTGTGAGCCGAATTAGCATGCGTTCACTGCATTTTTTTTTTATTGAATTAGCGATGCGTTCGACTATCTTTGTTCATACCATAAAACCCAAATATGCAAGTGGCAAATTTCACACCAGATATGTTACGATTTCAGCGAATCGATCCCAGCCAGCTTAACTTGCAACACATGACAGTCAAAATATGAGACAAGCCATTCTTTATCTAGAGTCAAGTACCTGATTCCCAGCGCCTCACAAGGCTTTGTCCTAGCCCTCGAGCCTTTCACATGACAGCAGACCATGATAAGTTTAGACGCAGGTAGTGCAATACTCAGATAAGTCCAAGATGTTGTCATTAGTGTGAAAGGCTAGGGCCCTGGCCTGATTTTTGGCATAATCAGCGGAATTGCTTTTCTAAAATCGGTCTGGGGGCTCAGCCAAAAAGGTCGACCTAACCTACCCCCAACACCTGATTTTTCCACGGATATTGGTCGCTTGCATTTACGTCTTGATATAAAAAGCAAAGCATCTTAGCACAGCAAAAACAAGCATCTTTCTCACTTCTATCAAGGTATCACTGATGACTACCGTTGTTGCTCATCGTGTTGTATAACCACCACGGCAACAATCATAAAACAAATGCATTTGCCACTTTTCGGGTAAACATGCGTTGATTTCTGTCTAGGCCCGCTTGTACTTTTAAAAGCTGTCACACATTGCACTCAGTTGTTCTTGTCCAGCCGTCATCATTTGACAAAGTGAAACATTTCCAGGCTGGGTTATTAAATGAAGGAACAAAAACTTTGGGAACCAACAAGATACTATTTTGTACGAAATTGGTATGATACAATTGTAATGTATTTCGATAACCGTTGCCTGGTACACCAGAGGTCACGGATGTCGATTTGTATTCTTTTGTGAGGACTCTCGCCTTCCTTATGTTGAGTTCTACTCCCCCTACCCCACTTTCTCAATGCTGGCTTGATCTCCTCCAGTGCAATTCTTTTTTGCCCTGAAATATTACAAAAGCTCAGGGAAAAGTTGGCAATGACGCAGCCAATATCTTCCGGGATTTTCATGATGGCATAGCCATGGAGGATGCATCAGGTTAATTTGACCCCGCAACCTCAAAATTAGTTCATCAAAATTCTGGGTAACTAGAGACATTAGCGATGGAGCATTTATATTTGGTATTTGTTTAAGTTGTGTCTTTCAAACATAAACACGGACGCTTTTTCTCCCCCCCCCGTCCGAACACGATATTGACGTCATTAATTCACCCGTCTCGTGGTCTCTTTTATGAGACATTAAAGACGTTTGGTCCCCTACCCATGGTTGAGTACATCCCTAACATAGTTTTAGTTAAAATTGAAACCCGAAGTGCTTGGAACGTCTCATGAGAAAACAAAGTCGGGTTACATATTTTTGGCGCGGCATAGTTAGTCCAGATTAAAAGTTCAGTTCAGCTGCAAATGATAAACAGTATGTTAAACGAACATTTTAAATGAACAGATCTTTGATCTGATTCTGTGCAGAACATAATTTGTTGCCAGCACTCTGAACCCACCATCAGAGGCGTATGAACGTTTCAAAAAGTGGGGGCCAAGGTCAGGGCGTATTTCAGGGACTTTTCTGGAAAACAAGCCCGATGACCGGGAGGGGGGGGGGTAGAGATGGAGGTTATCGCTCTTTATTCAAATGTAATGACTTCTATTCTAGATACGCGTCTGGAGCTGTTTCTCACCGGTGCAAACTCTTCTCTGTCCGACTCGACTGTGTCACTCGGCGAATAAGGCTATCCAGCTTTCCAAGATTATTCGTCTATTTCAATGTTGTCTTTCCTGGGGAGGCGAAACTCCACGAGCGGGTGGGCATTTTGGGCGATTGATGAGGCATCTGCCTCCACAGGGTAAATGACAAAGTATGGCCTGGGCATAGGCTGCCGAGAATTTTAAAAGTGAAGCGATGGCTCACAGTGCAACAGATTTTGCATGTGGCTTCATTTCGCTGGCTGCTTTTCAAGAAATAAGACTTGTCGCGGCATTTTAGGCGGAAGCAAATTCGGAAGCTTGGAACTGCCAAAAACTATGTGACAAAAGTGATAGAACTGGAGATTCTCCTTTGAAAACCAAGCCACAGAATGAAGGCCTTTTTGACATATATTCGTTGCCTGAGCCCTGCTCCTGTCCGCCGCCGGTGGCCACTGTCCAGGCCCGGCTGTCTCCGAATGACTGATCGCGAACTGGTGGTATGGCTGCTTTGCTGCACATTTCTGGATCAGCATTGCTACTATTGGGATGTAAAACATGTGTTGGACACCTGCAACAGTGCCTTTTTCCGACTTATCTTCCTTTACACCGCATCACCCCAGAAAAATGCCTCTGGGAAGCTGCCTACCTTAGGTAGGAATCGGCCCAACGGACATTTAATTGCCCGTCATTCAACGTAGATGTCTTGATCTTCTTTGTGTGTAGGCAGGGGGCAACCAGAGCCTTGCTAAGAGGAACACAGGGTTGGCAAAAGTCCCTCCCATGGTGTTTCCCCCCCCCCAAAAAAAAACCGTCTATAGTTTACTTGTTAACGAGGGATACGGTTTTCCTCGTTTCATTGTTATATTTACGTTTTAACCAGAATAAAATCCAGAAGCTACCGTGAGGTCCATTTTGTCTACGTTTTTAAGGTTAATAAACTGCAGAAATCAGGCCTTTAACGACCGGATGGAATAAATCACCGGTGCCCTTAATTTACGACGGCTTAGTAGACTCTTTCTAAGCCGATAGAATTCAGAAACTTTTTCATAATGTTTTATCCGCGTGCTGCAGACAATGAGGATATCGCAAAGGTAGATTGTGGATCGATATTTTTGATCGAAATCTGAGGGTGGAAATTTTGATTGTGGATTGAGTCATCAACAATGTGCATAAACATCACCAATCCATGTTTGGCTGAAAATGTTAAGCATTCAGTCAAAATCGATTAGTGATGCAATTCAAATGACGTGGTTCTTAGCATGCGTGATCGCAAATCTTAGCAACAAAAACGTCGACACCAAGCGTTGCAGTATCCAAAGCCCGCGGAGCACCAGCTCAGCGGTTAATTTTTCCCCATGGTCCACTGGTGGACGAAAATGATAACAGCTCTGAACTAATAGCCCTTATACACTTATTCATTAGTAATAAAAGTCACGTCACATAATTCTGAGCACGCATACTCGCAAATCTTCGTTAAAAAGCCTCGCCGCCAGACTTTGCAGCCTCCCTAGGCCGCGCAGCGTCGGCCTAGCCGCTAATACTGAGCTGTGGCCAACGGATGGACGAAAATGATGACGCTTCTGAAAGAAGTACTTTTGAACGCTTCATGACATCAAATCTTACATCTGCAAGACGGTCTGGGCACATACTTCACGTGTGCGATTTTTAGACTGATGATAAGAACGGACTGGCCCTTGAAGTACCGCGAAGTGGTGCCGGGATCTGGTGGTGGAGCTAAAACAGTTCACGTAGATTCTCTGTTTTTGTGTTTCTAAAACTATTAATCTGTCCAGAAGACATATTAACACAGCACCCGACGTCTGGTAGCACTTGCAGTGGCCGACACCGTTCATTTTTACGGCAGCTTCAACATCGACCATCGCTATCGTTGCTCTCGAAGTTGCGGGCATGTTCAAACCTTTTGAAGCATTTTTTCACTAATCCGTCCCGAAAAATGAACGTTATCAGGCCAACGTGGAAAAGCCTTGTTCTTTTTAAAAAAGGAAAATCATTTCGACCCACCCTATTCAACAATGGCACTCCCA